TGTGATGTGGGCCAATGGTCTTAATCACTCGATAAAATACCTACCTGCCCCACCAAACGTTACTTCTTTTTCAGGAATACTTGATGTAGTGAACTGGAGTTACACTCCATAATATTATTATGATATGTATATTGTACTTTCATATCAAAGTGTTCTGTTTCAACTCTTTTTTCTACATCGGGTAACCTCTGTTAGCAACAATATTATGTGAACTGTAATGGCGTGAAGAAACAAACACACTAACACCCCCCTCCTTTCCAAACCCCCCCCAAAAACAAAAAACAAACACAAACTAGCAACAAACAAACAAAACTTGTCCACATTTTCGCTTAGGCTGCAACGTCTTGCCCGGACATTTTCGGACGTGCACAGGCCATAACTTTGACAAGTTGCTCTGATTCTGAAGATTGTAAGAAGCTTGATCACAACAATATCATTTCAGCTTACTTCTTGTATGGAGAGCATAGTTTAGTTTAAAGCAAGCGTTTGATTTTATGGTAGGCCATACAAGTGCCGAAGATAAGAGGCGTTACTAGAGTGTAACGTACAAAGCATAAAATGGGGAGAGATTAGATCGGCAGATGTCTGAAAGGAAAGAAGGAGAATACCACATCAGAGCACCTGCAAACCGCCCGTGAAGGAAGTGTGGCTCAAGTCACACAACAACAAAAAAAAAGCTTGATTTTCTAACTTTTACTTTTATCACCCACTTATACCCTTTTGGGTGTCACGGGAAGAAAGAGATTTCTCTCTGCCAAAAAAGCAACCCCTGCCCTCCCCCCCCTTTCCAGAGCTCCCCCCGCGCTTGGTTCAAGTTCAAACGACAATTGAAAAATATTTTTTTTCGAAAATTTTTATATTACTTACTTTCGTCTTTAAGCAGAGCAATTAAATGGATAATGTTAACCAAGGCCCCGAAACAATGTCCCAACCATAAACGTAAGAGTTGTTTTCAAATGAAGACATTGTGTCTTTCCCCCCCCCCTACCCTATTCTATTACACAGAAAAAAGTTGCTTGTCAGAAAACTGACTCGTCGTGCCAACTCCACTTGGTCTTGGCCTAAACCTGTACCTAAGTATCATTTGGTCGCGTTTAAGGACAAATGGGCGTACCCAGATTTCGAGGGTTTCCAGAAATCCTGATCTAAACCAAAAGTGGGCATTGCCCTACGTATAGGAGAAGTTTCGTTTCATTGGTTCGTATATATTTGTTTGTTTATAAAGAAAGCTCTCCTTGTCTTTTAAAGAAACTGAACAAGGGGCAAAAATTTTACCTTCGATTTGGTCAAAACAGCATTTCTCGGGATAGACCCCTTGTGCTTATTAAAAGCGACCATTTTTGTCTTTATTTTCAATGTGTCTTTATGTTGTTCTCAGTAGAAAAAGCAGGTAGCTCAGGTACACGTAGTCCAAATGAGTGTAAAAGCAAGCAAGTCTTAGAAGTCTTTAGTAGACACTCAAAAAGGAAAAAAAGGCGTTCGTCATTTTGTCTTATTGCGGGGTAATTTCAAACAATATCGCATATCCACTAAATTACGTCTTTCGTCTGAAAAAAAAAGAAGTTATTTTTAACCATGATCACAATTTCTGACATTGTTTTAAGTGTGAAGATCACAATGGAATACATTTTGGGGAATTCTGGAAGGTTAAAAAAATGTTATCCACCACAACCCCTCCCCCGGCCCCTACCCCCAAAT